TCCTGCAGGTTGTGGGCCCACGGGAAGACATCCCCACGTCGCTCATTCGGGCTAAGCCCGGCCGGGCTCCGTGAGGGGAGGCCTGGCCACCAGGAGCTCGCATTCGAGCCCCAACCTCGGGCCTGGCTCCAGGGTGGGGCCCCCGGCTGCGCCTTGCCGGGCGACGTCACGGTCCTTGATCTTAATCTAATCATAAGGGGCTTTTGAACCACTCTTAGTCTGACCCGTCACCCAGGACCTGTTTGCCTTGGGAGACCCTACCAGGGACATATAGCACCCGACAACATAGCTCCTAGGATCACTCGGGTACTCAAACCCCTCCACCACAATAAGGTGGCGGTTCAAGGAGGGGATTTACAAAGTCAATTCAAGAAAAAGACAGTTGGAAAGTTTTAAGTAAATAATTTGGAACTGTATGAACTTGTAAAATAAAGCAAAAAACTAAAAACAGATCAACTGAAAATGTCTCAAAAATCACCAGCAGATAAACTGAAAACACTAATTTGGCTTTAAGATGGGGAAACTCACTTCCTGTACCTGGAGAATAAGCTGCTGTTTTCCTTCTACACCAACGACTGCACCTCAGAGGACCCTCTGTTAAAGTCCTGAAGTTCGCAGATGACACAATGGTCATCTGTCTCATCTGAGACAGTGATGAGTCGGCTGGCCCTGTGGTCACAACAACCTGGAGATGAACACACTCAAAACAGTGGAGGTGACAGTGGACAGTGGACTTTAGGAAGTAACCCCCCCCCAGACACAACCAGACACAAAGACAGTTTCTTGTGTTCACTCTGATGAACAGTTAATCCTGGTTTATATGTATAAAAAGACAGCAAACACCACAGTGCCATAACCTGTAGATACAATAACTGTACATACCTAAATAGCTCTTTTAAAATTGTATATAGGTACATATATTTATTAATAGATTGTAGTTTTTATCTTCTTGTCATTTATCTTTATTCTGTTTTATTCAGTTTTATTTGGTACACATTGTGGGCCACTGAACTGTAGTCAAATTCCTTGTATTTATAACATACTTGGCAATAAAGATTATGATTCATTGATTGAAGATGTTTGTTTTGTCATTTCTTAAAACTAAAACATTTTCTGTAAAGCTTTGATGTTTTTAATACTGACAGTCTTTGCACAATTTCAAACTCATCATTTAACTAAGATGATGTAATTTCATGTGCTGTCATCTCGAATGTGATGGCTGCAAACTGATGAGGAACACACGTTCTTCAAAATCGAATTCACTGGGGCCATGACAGAGATAGTCTGGAGGCCTTCACTAGACCAAAACACTTGACCAGTACCCATTTGTGATCAATGTCATGCCTGACAGCTGATTGGCCCCTGAAATTTCCAATAAATATACAAGTCCTATAATTTTCTTTCATGCTGGTGGAGAAATTGCAGTTATAGTTTCTTTTGACAAGTGCAACATGGCAACATGCAGCAGAAGAGGATCTCACATTGCAGCATGTTGCAGCTCCCAGATCTGAAGAGACCTGAACTTAAGGAACACTAGCTTGTGGAGCGAGTGTCATGATTTGTTCAAATACCAGATGTCTGTGAGAGTATTTGGCCAAAGGTTTGTAGAATGTGAATGTGTGTTCAAGGCAAACCCCAATGATTAGGAAGTTCACCCTACAGCAGACTGTCATACAGTATTACGAATCTCACCTGACTAAGGCTCACTAACAAGTAGGCTATTTATTTACTACATGAAGATCACTGCATACAGGAACAACTACACAAAATGCATCATACTGTATGATTGAGTTACTCTTTTGTGCCCCTGGTTGGTGTTCAACAGGTTTATACTTGAAGCACCTCACAAATCAAAGTAATATTTTGGTCAAACCAGCCAAGAAAATGTCAAATATCTGTCTAGTTTCTTTTACTGACAGATCAGACTTTAAAAGGAACAACATGATAACGTTCTGGACTTATTAAAACTACTAGTTTAATTTCTGTCTTATTTAAAAATTATAAACAGTTTTAATGCAGGTGGCCTTCAGTATAGAAGCTCGGGGATTGGCTGTACATTTCCTCTAGTGTGATTGGACCACGACAACGTCATTCAGAGGTCTCAGTATAATAATTGGTCAGGAGGTCTGTTGCCCCGCCCCGGTCCGTCGCAACGGATGTCCGTTATGTTCTTGTGTTCGGATAGAGTGTCAGAGCGGGAGGGAGAGTTACCACTGCACCGAATTAAGTTTTTAAAGCACACATTTACTGAGCACATCGGATCATCTAGACAGACTGACCGTGACATAGTGCCACACTTCCCGAAACACTGACATAAACATTTATAACCCTTCTCAACCGGGACTCCCACCTCTTCTGAACTCCGCGGGGCCCGGCGAGGGGCTGCGGGAGCAGATGGAGCCTGCACCGGCGAAGGCGAAGCCTCAGGGACGGCTACTGGTGTCCACCCCGCTGGACGCCAAAGACGAGCTGGAGGAGGTAGGTTGAGTCGTTTTAACGGCTCAGAGAGATCATATAACCATATAATAGAGTGGGTCAGAACGGGTTTAGCGGCGGATATGAGCAGTTTGTGAAGTGTATGTTCTAAAACAAGAAGCGGATACAAAGAGATGGAACCATTTTATTAACCTGCACTGAGGCTAAGCTAGTTAGCGTGGCTAATGGCTAAGAGAAACGTTAGCATAGCTGTGTATTAACACAGGTAAACATATTGTAGTTGCTGTAAATCCAGTGCGCGACAGGTGAGGTGTTTCAGTTGTTTGTGAAAGACGTCATGGTGATGATAGAACGTTAAAGATATAGCTAAACGACTGTTAGCCTAGCATGCTATTTCTACGTAAACATATAGATGGAAAGTGACAGATGCGCATGCGCCGTATCAGTGTTTCCCAAGTGTTGTCAAAAGGTTTGTCAGCAGCGGGAATTGATCAAAATTCATACACGTCCGGGAAAACCTGGAAACGTGTAGACATGTTTTATGGTCCAGAGAATGAGAGAAATGTCCTGGAAAAACATTGTGTCATCCTGGAGAATAATTTTCCTGCTGCTGAGATTGAACTGTTACATCAGTTTGGTGAAGACAACGAGCACTTCCTGAATAAATAATACAAATCACTACTGAAGTGTAGTTTGAAAAAAAAAAAAGTTAGTGAACTGGTCAATTAAAACAAATAGTGGCTACACTTTTCTAATGTAACACTGTGTGACCTGTAGGGTGATCATTTTCACAACTAACCTTAGTATATAAACTGCAACATATGATTAAAGTTAAGTTGGCTAGTTAGCTGATTTTGTGTTTACCTGCTTGTTTGTCCTGCAGTTGTGTGTGACTGTAGCTGTGCTGCAAATAATGTGTGTGTGTGCTGAGAGCTACAGCTTCATGAAGGGAAACATATTTTAAGTAACTGTATTCTCATAATTATTATTGTGGCTTAACCTCATTCTCATTGTTGACAGTGTAGAGTGAGTACTGCTAGTCTGCTGTTGTGTGTGTTCTCAGAGGAAGCATCAGTCAGGGGTCATGTGTGTTGTAACAGTGTTTACGCTGTCTCACAGACATGAGCACTTGTGTTTCTTCTGTTCTGAGGTTGAAATACAGTTTTAAACCAGTTGCATTTGCTCTCATTACTGTATGTCTTCAGCCCTTTATCTGTGAAATAAAACTCTGAATAAAGCATAGATGTTTAAAGTTCAGGTTTGTCAGTTCAGTCATAAAATACAGTCTGAAGTATCATTTGGTTCAGGACCAGGGTGCAGCACTTACAAAGTACCAGAACAAATAAGGTTTATGGGTAAAAAGTAAGAACCTGAGTTCTTATAATTTTAGTGTGAGGTGGTTCAGTGGCATGTTTGTATAACATGATCAGCACACATGATGAAAAGGAGACTTGAATCCATCTGATGTACATGTTTGTGTGTTTAGAGATTGGAGCGCTGTGTTGGGATCGTCCAGTCGTTGACTAATGGGCTGTCAGAGAGAGAGGCCAATGACGCGCTCACTGCAAACGTAAGAAATACACACTCTGCTACAGCTAATGCTGCAGATAATACTGTGACAGCATTACTGCTACCACTACTGCTAATAGTCCAGATAAGCCTGACAAATACTTCAATTACTGACAAACACTGCCAATATAAAAAAAAAAACCCACTAGTTACAATTACCTATACTACAGCTGATACAGTGACAAGTACTGCTGTTATGAAACACGGCAACATAAGAAGGGGATTACTACATGACATAACAAATACACCAACTACTGTGACAAATACTGCTAAGGTCGGCACTACAACTAATACACAGATATCACTGTATGATATTACTGCTAGTACACATTCCACCTCGGTGTTTCCACTATGTACATTTTGCAGCGGTTGCCCGCCACTGCAGAATTATTATGCAGATATTTGAGGAAATATCATAATGTTGTAATTACACGACTCTGCTATGGCTTTTAATTTGAAATGACAAATCCACAAAGCAGAGACACATAGCGACACCCGGCTGATGTAATGGTAATGGGTACTCTTTCTTCCTGTTTACCTCAGGTGTGTAAAGGTCAGCAGCAGCATGAGGAGGTGTGTCTGGGTCTGTTCACCCTGGTCCTCACAGAGCCGGCCCAGGCCCAGAGGGTGAGATACCACTACATCATTTCTCGCATGTGACAGCACTGTGGCATCACTCTGACATCACTGTGTATGTGTTGGGGGTGGGGGCAGTGTTACAGAGACCTGACGCTGGTCAACAGAGATGGGATGAACGTGGTCCTGGTTAAGATCAACCAGATCCTGATGGAGAAGTTCCTCAAACTGCAGGACGTCCCCAGAAGTCAGGTAACAAACTGAAGAAGCACGAACAGTAGCATAGAAGTATTCAGTTAAAAGTAAAAGTTCTGCAGATGCATTTTTATGTAAGTTAGAGTACATAAGGCGTTTCATTATAACAGAGTGTCAGAAGTACTCTGTATATTATGGTATGGATGAGTTGAAGTGTTCATTGCTGTGATGTTGTGCCTGGCGAAGGTGCTGCTAATGCTGACTCACTGCAAATGCTGGGTGGCTTTATCTACACTCTTATAATTTATTAGTTGATTGTATTTTGTATTTGTAAAATGAAGCTGTAAGGTAACTAGTAACTAAAGCTGTAAGATAAATGTAATGCAGGGTTGCATTATGAAACACCGTATAAAAATTAATTGTTATTCCATGTACAGTCAGTTACTATCAATACTGAACATAGCTGCGGAAAGGAGGCGCTGCAGCACCCCCTAGTGGTGGCCGCATGTGGTAGCATCTTATACTTGGCAATAAAAGAGAGGTAAATAAATAAAAAAGCTTTCCACAGTGACCATGGTAAACAACAGCAATGCAATGAAAATTTTTTCCCACAGTCAACATTACTATTTCAAAGACCAAAATGCTACCACTACCAACATTACTGAGGACACAGGAAAAGTACATTGCTACTGCAGATGCCAAACTAGTTATAACAACAAACATGAGCAACAGCGCTGCAGCAAAGCCAGTCACTGTGAGAAAGCGCAGCAGCGGGGTCTCTGGGGATCCATAGGACGCCTCTTCTGTCTGTGCTGGGACTACTGTGCTCAGAGGAGCCAGGGATGACGAGGCCCTCAAGTCTTAGGATGTTAACAATGAGGGCATCTCATCAAGCTGTGAGTTAGTTATGTGCTAATACTTTAGTTTGGTTCTGATGAGCTAAATGTCATGAATGAGAATGTGGATCATTAATACAAATCTAAATCAATGAAGGTTAATAATAATTTTAGAGAAACATCCAAAAGCATCCTGTGAAAAGCATTTTCAACATTCACATTTTCAATCAGGACTTTCACTTGTAACAGAGTACTTTTACAGAATCAGAATCTGCTTTATTGGCCAGGTGTGTCGGACACATGAGGAATTTGACTGGTACATCGGCTCTCAGTGTGTATGTACATATCCCCATGCAAGGGGCAAGTAAACAGTAAACCAGCATACGGCTGTGTAAAATAACAAAAGCAGTATTAACAAGCAACAAACAGTGCAAACAATGCAAAATAAGCAGTATAAACAGGCAGTAAACAATGCAGACAGACAAAGGAATGCTCATTGAAATGAGATAAATAAGGAATAAAAATAGAGACCTGTACGAATCTGTGTAATATTAGTACTTTTACTTAAGTAAAGGATGAGAATACTTCCTCAACTACTGCTGCTAACATGAAAACTAACAGGCTTTAGTTATATAACATGTTGTAGTTACATCCTATGATTTTTAAATCATGTTTGTAATCCTGTTTGCTGTTATAATCCTGCTAACCCTTTAGGGTCATGGTGTCTCTGCAAAGACGCCTCCCAATCCAGCTCAGCCAACTGTCACAGTCACTTGCAATTCAAGTGTTTATTCAACAAAACAACCTTCTGTTTTCATCCTGTTCTTAGGGTTGTTATAAATGATAAAAAATAGCCAATACCATGCTTCTGTGAGACCATGATATTTCCTATGAAAATCTCATACTGTTGTGACCCTATTTGCCTCTGAAAGGCAATGCTGAGTGTAAAGTAGCACCAAGTGGAAACAGCCAGTGAGGTACAAGCATCTTGAAATTATACTGAAGTAAATGTACTTGTTTACTTCACCTGGGTACACAGGTAAACCCACAAGCACACACACACCTTTACACACAGGTTTACAGGTAGAGTCAGGTACTGCAGTGTTTTTATAATTAAATTCTGCAAAGATGAAGATTTATATATTAAACCTGAGTGAACATAGTTTTGAGTTTGATGGTTTTGCCCTGTGTTGCGCATAACCCTCACTTACATGAGTCCTGTGTCACCTGAGGAAACTGACGTGCTAATGGAAATGTTGATGTGTGCAGCTGGTGTGGCTGGTGCGAGAGCTGGTGAAGAGCGGAGTGATGGGAGCTGACGGGGTCGTCATGACCCTGCTGAAACAGATCGCAGGTCAGACACTCTCACTTACCTATAGTTTCTCCATGCATCAGGGTACCTGCTGTAGTCACTGTGTGTTTACTCTGTGTGCAGGTGGAGACATCTCCACTAAGAACCTGTGGCTGGCTGAGAGCGTCCTGGACATCCTGCTGGAGCAAAAGTACGTGTCAGTCTGTTTAAAGAACTGGTTCAGTCAGACCACACCGTGTGGATTAAATGGGATGTGTTTATGAAAACACATCCAGCAAAGAGCATCCTCTTACTGTGGTGTAAAAGGACTAGTTTTCTCCACAGTAAAAAGCTACTATGAAGCAGGCAGAGGGCTTTTATTGTGAAGCAGCTGGATGTATTTTTCTCTCACTATAGGGAGTGGGTGTTGAAGAGTGGGATGCTGATAGCGATGTCAGTCTACACCTACCTCCGCCTGATCGTCGACCACGGAGCCCCGAACCTGCTTCCACTCCGTCAGAAAGAGGTCGACTTTTGCATCAGCATGCTGAGGGAGAAGGTGAGGGGGGGCGAGGATGGAACGAAGGAAGTCCAAAAGGTGTATCTGTCTCCTGTGGTTGCAGCGATAACCCTCTCTCTCCTCCTGTAGTTCATGGAGTGTCTGATCATTGGCAGAGATCTGGTTCGTCTGCTGCAGAACGTTGCTCGGATCCCAGAGATGGAGCTGCTGTGGAGAGACCTGCTGCACAGTCCACAAGTCCTCAGTCCTCAGTTCACCGGTAAAGTACACTACCCAGAATCCCTGGTTCCCTTTCCTGTTTCTGTGTTCAGTAGAGTTTTGCTTAGTGTACTGATCATTGTTCCAAATAATTGACAGTTTCTCTGTAAAATATGAGAAAATTGTGAAAAGAGAAATCTTTGTGTTGGTCACACAAACTCAGAGGTTTTCAGTTTAATACAACAAAAGACTGGAGCAAGTCCTCACACCATCTGGATTCATCAGACATCTGGTTAATGTTCTGTCAGTTGATTAATCCCCAGTGGATTCGGTTCCCAATTTAAGTGCACTGGTTCTGAGAATCTAGCTCAAACAGAGATCTGTATTTATTGTATGTGCTGAAAGAGAAATTATGGAATTCCTGCTTTTCAGTAGGTGTTCCACACCTGTCAGTGCGCTCAGTTGTGCAGCAGGTGTCGGACAGAGGGAGTCCGGTGCAGAGGTGTGGGCCCTCAATGATCCACAGTCTGTGTGTTTGTGTTTCAGGCATCCTCCAGCTTCTCACAGCTCGCACCTCCAGAAAGTTTCTGGCCTGCCGACTCACGCCTGATATGGAGACCAAGCTGCTGTTCATGACCTCCAGGGTAAAGATCAGGTTCTGGTGTAGACCACATCGGGCTGCGAGAGTCCACCATCAGTCTGAAGTGCTGTAGCCTGTGTATTTGTCTTTAACATTGTTATAACAGGCATGTATAGGTGCACTATTACACTCAGTGCTTCCCCAGGATGAAACTGTTCAGGTATGGCCCACGGAACAATCCATGACATTCTGGTACCGATCCAGCTCATCACCCGGATCCAGGAGTATATCTAATGGCATTATGGGGAAACAGAGCTCCTTGGTAGAGGTTTGCCAGAGGTTCTCTGAGTGCTGTTTAGTTTTAATGTTGTGAATAAAAAAACCTTGTCTTCTGAGACCACAGTGGCTCTTCAGACACCTCCTGCAGCTTGATAAGTTTTTAATCAGAGGAAAGAAATCTGCATTTCCCTCAGTTTGGGCTGCCAGAGCTTCTGTAGGCCCTTAAAAGGCCTTACATTTTAAACCGGAAGAAACTGTCAGACTCCATTAAAACCAGACCAGTTTCTCTGGTTTAGAAATGTTGTGATGTTCTTCCCTGTGATCAGAGAATGGTCAGGATCTAAACACCTGGACCTTGACCTCAGCTCTTTCCTGTCTTCACCTGTGTGATCAGGTACGGTTTGGGCAGCAGAAGCGATATCAGGACTGGTTTCAGAGGCAGTACCTGTCCACAGCTGAGAGCCAATCCTTGCGTTGCGACCTGATTCGCTACATCTGTGGTGTGGTCCATCCGTCTAATGAGGTGCTGAGCTCTGACATCCTGCCACGCTGGGCTATCATTGGCTGGCTACTTACCACCTGCACGGTAAGTAGGCGGGGCCTCAGACTGTCAATCTGGAGGTTGGAATTAATTTAAGTCAGTCACATTGAAACCTATTAACTTGTGTGTCTCCAGTCAAATGTGGCCGCCTCCAACGCCAAGCTGGCGCTCTTCTATGATTGGCTGTTCTTCAGTCCTGAGAAAGACAGCATCATGAACATAGGTAACAGGGTTTACTCAAACACACAGCTTGTCACATGGAGTTTGGTACCAGCAGCAACTTAATGCCCACTTTGCCCACTTCCATCACAAGATGGTGATCTTAACAGAGCGCAGTAATTGGCCTTGTACAGCAGGGGGTGCTCTGAGGCTGCATCCACCTGACAGACCTTTACGTTGCTATACTGATGTCTTTCATGAGATAGAATAAACTTTCTGTAAATTTAAACGTGACTTTAATACTAATGAATGAAACACATGTAGTCCTCAAGTCCCTCACTGTATTTAAAGAATCTAAAGTGATGTTGTTGTGTCGTCCTGTGACAGAACCGGCCATCCTGGTGATGCACCACTCCATGAAGCCTCATCCTGCCATCACCGCCACACTGCTCGACTTCATGTGCAGGGTAATATATGCTACAGACAGGCGACCGCTTATTCAGATGCAGTACGAGTACTTGCATTTGAGTACTTGACCATACAGAGTACTGATACAAGTACTGAATAATAATGCAGCATTTCTAGTAGGAGTGCAACAGTTCACCAAAGCCACAGTTTGGTTCAGACCTCGGTTGTTTTTGCAACTTTTTTTTGTGAAACAAGGCAAAGTGGGGTACAATTTCTGGATGAAATGGTCAGCAGTGCTCTGCAGGTTCTGCACCTAATTTCTACTATAAAAATTATCATGAGTTTTTACTTGCATGAAATCCTGTTTACTCTGTTATTGTGAGTAAATCAAATGCACAGCAGGAGGCTGTCGCTCCTGTCCGTGGTGCAGGAGACTGTTCTGGTTAGATTTTTTTATTCTGTCCAGATGTTCACAGAACAAAAGATTACACTCAGCCCACCATTAACAATGGACACTACTAAATTATAAGGCATTTCTAATTTTGAGTCCTGTGTGTTTTCTTTTATTTGCTGTTTTTCAGTAGAAGACAGGCACAGCTTTGTTAAATGATGACTAATATCTACAATCTAAACTTGTTCAGAGAGGTTTTAAATTCTTTAACCAACTCTCCAGAGAACAGCAACTGTTCATCAAACCATGAGGTTTGATTGTGAGAATATAAACAAGGTACTTTTGTTTGACTCCCTTTGCTTTTACATGCCACCCCTCTCTTCTACCCTTTTTTCCTACCTCCTTGTTCCTTTCCCTCAGATCATCCCTCATTTCTACCCTCCGCTGGAGTCTCAGGTGCGTCAGGGTGTCTTCAACTCCCTCAACTTCATCATGGAGAAGAGAGTGCTGGCGTAAGAAACACACACACTGTTCACTTTGATAATTAATAAGTAATTGTTTATAGATTTTTTTAACATACAGAATGTTGAAAAACTTAGAAAAAATCAACTGGACTAGATTTCTAGGTCGAAGACATTTCACCTCTCATCCAAGAGGCTTCATCAGTTCTGACTGACTGGTGTTGAGCCGGAGATATTTATCCCCCTCGGTGGTGTTTCAGTCCTTTGAAGGCCAACAATGTCCCTTAACGACTGAGTCGTTATAGTCCAGTATTGGTGAGAGTCGTTACCTGTCTTTGAATCCTCCCCTGTGGGCCGATGCCTATTGTCCTGGTGGGCATGTTTGGACAGAGATCTCAAAACAGGATTGATGGAAGACAAGTTGTGTCTTAGTCCACCACCTCTATTTAGTGAGGGGTGTTCTATTTTTACAAAAATTGCTTCACTCTAAGTTTTTCAGCTTACTATGACCTGGATGACTGAGAATCTGGACTAACATACAGAATATTTCTCTCTTAAACCCTTCAACACATCATCTTCTTCTCCCCTCGGTCTGTGTATTCTGCTGTGTGTTAACAGTAATGTGATGCCAAGAAAACGGTAATGATACAGCTACTGGCTGGAAATAAAGCTGTGGTTTTCATAGTGTGAGACCAGAGGACTTCAGGGGAGGCTCAGTTGTCTTCATGATTTCCTCTGAGAGGAGGCTCACCTTCCAAAGTGTGGGAAGGTGAGCCTCCTCTCGGAGGAATTCATGAAGAAACCTCTGGCCTAGAGCAAACTGTTGATGTGCTAATATCAGTCATGCTAATCTCAGACCCTTGCACTGTGAGAACAAGCAAAATGTGCAATATGGATATGTTTTTACAGGTTGTTGGTGTATCTGTCCTTGCATATTGATTATTAATCATTCTCTCTCAGTCACCTTGCTCCACTGTTTGATAATCCAAAGTTGGACCGAGAGCTTCGATCAATGCTCAGAGAGAGATTCCCCGAGTTCTGCAGCTCACCCTCACCCCCAACCGAAGGTAACACACACAATAACATATATCCCTGTAGCATGCTCTACTGCACACTAACACACACACGCTGTAACACACTAACAAAACACGTTGTAACGTGTTGTAATGCACAACACTAAAACATTCTGTAACACATACTGTAAAATACACTAACACAGTAACAAAACATGCTGTAACACACACTAACACACTGTAACACATCTCACTACAATACACATTTAACTTTCTTTATTTGTATCAAATAAAGAACCAGGAACAAAGATGGCATCCTGCATATTTGTGTGTCCCACAGTTAAGATGGAAGAGGCTGTTTCTATGGAGATGGACAACCATGTGTTGGACAAGGAGGAGGGTTGCTATGACAACACAGAAGCCACCTTCAGTGATGATGAGGAGGAGGTCAACAACAAAGGTGACTAGACCTGGACAAACCAAACACATCAGTTTAATCCAGTTTAAAGACAGGTGTTGGTGTGAACACCTGCGGTTCACCTACTTATTGATTAAAAACTCATCACTCTGTCAACCAATCACTGTGCAGGAAAGAAGAGGGAGTTCCGGTTCCATCCAATTAAAGAGGCTGTGATGGAGGAGCCTGCTGACATCACATCCTGGCTGGACCAATTAGATGACACCATAAAGGAGAAGGTGCTGCAGCTGCAGAAAACCAGGTGAGCTCCTGCAGGACAGGTCCTCAGATCAGGCCAGAGGTCTAAGGTCACAGCTCAGTCACTCTGGGTTTATTGATCATGTATCAGTGATGTGTATATATATATCACTATGTTATTGATAATAAACTGGTAACAAGGGGTTTTGTCCTCAGTGACACAGAGACTCAGTGTGAGGTGATGCAGGAGATTGTGGACCTGATCCTGGAGGTGAGCCTCCTTCTCCAGCACGTTCTGCTTTGTTCTACTGGCTTCTACTGGCTTATGTTACATTATGTTCTGTTCTGCTTTGTCCAGGAGGATTTTGACTCGGAGCAGATGTCGGCTCTGGCCTCCTGTCTGTCTGAACTGTTTAAAGATCATTTCAGAGGAGACGTCCTGCCGGACGAGATCACTGAGGAGTAAGACTGCACCTTTCTATCTTCAATTGGGTTCAATTCAACGAGCTTTACTGGCAGGATACTGCCTAAGGATTAGCATTACAGTGACAAACATATAAATACATTTACAAGCACCATAATTCATAAAGACAAATTATTTATATAATTAGGTAAAATAGAAAATATAGTAATATACAGTAGAGAAAAAAACACTGAGGCGCTTGATTAAATGATTGGTTGGATTGATTTTTTTGAGGTGGTGGCAAAGATTTTGGTATAGCGGGGCGCCACTGAGAACTCTTACCAGTGGAAACACTGGACATATTTTTGTGGCTAATATGATGTATTTTGATTTGCGCAGACTGATTCAGACCCTGGTGTTTTACTTTTAATTTGTGTGAAGACCTTTGTTCTTATATGTTCATAGGTGTCACAGCACAAGGTGTTGCTGTATCTCCACCTCTCTCTGTAGATACAGCTGCCACAGTCTGATCTCTTCAGGCCTCCAGGTCTGCCTGTGTCGGCCTCTCTCAGTGGCGCTGAGTCTCTGAGTCCCTCTCTCTCTCTCTCTGACTGCCCGTCTGTCTCTCTGCAGGTCCCTGGAGGAGTCGGTGTGTAAACCTGTCTGTCTGATCTTCAGGAACCTGGTCACTATGCAGGAGGACAACAGTGGGTTCTCTGTGCTGCTCGACATGTTGGCTGAACTCTACCAGAAACAGCCCAAGATCGGATACCACCTGTTGTACTACCTCAAAGCCAGGTGACAGCTGCACCTGGTTTAGACATGTCGTCAGATGTGAAACCATGTCTACAAACATTAGAAACGCGACATTAAACATGTCAAACTGTGTCTGTCTGTCAACAGTAAAGCAGCGAACGGTAAGATGATGCTGTACGAGTCTTTTGCTCAGGCAACAGCGCTTGGCGACCTGCATACCTGTCTGATGATGGACATGAAGGCGTGTCAGGAGGACGATGTCCGGCTCCTCTGCTACCTCACGCCCTCGATATATTCCGAGGTACAGCGTGCACACAGACACACACTGTAATGTTATGCTCACCTGCCTCCTGAACCTCTATTGTTGCTCAGTTTCCAGATGAAACACTGAGAAGCGGAGAGCTGCTCAACATGATTGTGGCCGTCATCGACTCTGCACAGGTAACGCCTGAGTAGTAGCAGCTGCACTGGGACCTGGCCCTAACTAACACAATAATAACATAATGTTCTGTGGATTTAACATCCAGATGATGAAGGTTTCCCAGCAAACTCTGAGATGTTGTACAAGTATTCTCTGAATCTTCTCCCTCAGATGTCTGGTCAGTTAAGTGCAGTTTCAAAATAAAAGCAAAAATTAGTTTCCCAGAGTTGCAGCGATGTCGGTCTCTACTGTACCGACCTTCAGCACTGTGCACATGCTCATGCACTGTGGGGATGTAATGTACACAGTCCAGACAGGTTTATCTTCTCTAAAAGTCAAAAGGACAAATACAGCCTGTCCAACCAGAGATCTCGCAGTCGGCTGGCCATAGTGCTGCTCCACTCTTACACAAACATCAAGCATCTTTTGTTCTGTGAGTAAAGAATAACCCATCAGTGTCTCTCCTACCCCCATAAAAAACTAGACATGGGCAGCAGGAAGCTACAGAGCAACAGAACAGACATGCAATAGTACCTGAATAAAGTTGGGCTTATTCCATATCACTAGTGGAGAAACAAGGTCATGGTCAAAGTGTTTATTCGTCATATGCACAGTTAGGAAATTGTGTTTCCCTGTACAATGAAATTCTTATTTTGCCGTCCACATGAATGCCACACAATACAAGTGAAATATAAAGTAGATGAATAAGTAACACTAAATCTAAGGCACTTTAAAGCAGCAAATGAGATATAATAAAAATATATTAGAATATAATAAGAGAATGTATGCTACATGGGAGCTGTATGTGCAGTAGTCAACAGTCAATGTGCAATTATGCATGTGCAAACTGAGAATGTAAACAGTACAGGTCGTCAGTACATGACGTATTTCCTGGTAATAAACTCCTGTCAGCTGTTGGAAAGAGAGTTTTTCAGTCTGGAGGTCCTGCATTTCATGTGGAGCTGATGATGCTGTTGGTGGTCCTGTAGTCTTGGATGTGCTGCAGGCCTTGTCACATCCATGCGAAGTCAGCAGTAGAATAGAAGCCAGCTTTGACTGTCAGTGACGACAATGTTTGTGTACAGTTACAGGAGCTGATGTGTCATGTGATGATGGGGAACCTGGTGATGTTCAGGAAGGACTCTGTGCTCAACATCCTCAGTGAGAAATGTCACACACAGATCAGTTACAGTACAATGTGTTGGACAGAAGAGTTGGACTCTGACTCTGTCTTCTTCCTGTATGAACAGTTCAATCTCTGGACTGGGAGACCTTTGAGCAGTACAGCACCTGGCAGCTGTTTCTGGCCCATAGTATCCCTCTGGAAACCATCATCCCCATCCTGCAACACCTCAAATACAAAGGTGAGTTCTGTACTGATCCAACAATCAGCCTGCTGGTTCGCTAACGTTATTGACACAAAGTTCATTAAATGACTGCAAAGAGACCCAGAACCACCACAGAGATTCTGTTTTCTGACTCTTGTCTTTCTTGGGTGTTTCCTGTTTCCAGAACATCCAGAGGCCTTATCCTGTCTGCTGCTGCAGCTCCGCAGGGAAAAGTATGCCAAACACAGAGCATTTCTTTCCTCATGTTGGAGACTTCTGTCTGTTAATGTCTCTGTCTGTGCATCCCAGGCCGACCGAGGAGATGGTGAAGATGGTCCTGAGTCGTCCCTGTCACCCTGAGGACCAGTTCACCACCAGCATCCTGAGACATTGGGCGTCCAAATATGATGACACGCTGGGAGAACACATCAAGGCCCAGCTGATCAAGAATAACAACCAGCCTCGCAAGAGACAGAGGTGAGGACACAGAGAGAGACAAATACAGGGACAGTCTCGTCACTACAGATACAAGATAAAAACCAGTTTTGTGTCTCTCTCCAGTCTTCGTAGTTCCAGCAGTAAACTGGCCCAGCTGACCCTGGAACAGATCCTGGAGCACATGGACAATCTGAGACTGAGCCTGAGCAACACCAAGAACAACTGTCAGTACACACACACACACACACACACACGTTTAGTGATTGATTATTGAAGATGTACTGACCCCTGACTGTTTCTGTCGGTCAGTCTTCACACAGACCCCAATCCTCCAGGCTCTGCAGCACGTTCAGGCGAGCTGTGACGAAGCACACAAGATGAGGTATGCACATATGCACACACGCTGACTGGTGACATCACAGCAGGTGCTGATGACATCAGTTCCTCTTCTTGCAGGTTCAGTGACCTGTTCGCATTGGCGGAGGAGTATGAGGACTCTCAGTCGAAGCCTCCGAAATCTCGGCGTAAAGCTCCGGCCTCTTCACCTCGCTCCAGGAAAGGAGCAGCTCCACCCACCAACAATGAGGAGGAGAGCGCCTCCAGCAGTGCCTCGGTACGTATCAGGTCCCAGCCTCTGTTCTTCAGTTCCAGGTACACGGCCACAGTCCAAGGTTTTCTGGACCCGTTATATCTGTCTGTGTTTCAGGAGGAGGAGGACTCGAAGCCCAAAGCTCCGAAGAGGAAGAGGAAAGGCTCGTCAGCCGTTGGTTCTGACAGCGACTGATAAGTCACACATGAGCTGCCACACAGACTGCCAGCCAATGAGCTGCTCTGACCAATGGAAAAGGCCATGCTCCCTCCTGATGACACGCACTGATGGCTGTGGGAAGGGCGGGGCTTTGAGACTTTAAGTCCATGCAGTGAACTCACTATCTCATGTGAGACTGATGCTGTTTCCATGGAGATGAGGACTGACTGGGTCTCATGTGGCTGAACTCCCATGATGCACTGGGAGGATTAAAATATAAACTCTGGGAACCAAACAGCTGATTTTACTACAGGGAACATGTGAATGAAGATGAGTGTGTCTTTTTTGGGGTGGGGGGTGGACTTTTACTGTGGAGGAGCCTGACTTCCTGCTGTTTTCAGCAGCTCCTTCCTGTTTGTCTCACTGCAGTAAAAGCTCGTCTGTTGTGAACCACATGTTGGATGACTTCTCCGTATAAAAGCAGATGTGTGTTCTGTATGTTAGTGGGGGGGGGTCAGGTTTGATGCTGCTTGTTGGCACTGCAGTCAGTAAAGGACCATTTCAACTTTTTATCAGTCAAATTTAAAAACAGAAAATCTAAATGGAGTTTGGCATGAGTCGGTAGGTTTCTGTGTGGTTGTGTCAGGTACAGCCTAGATGACATATGGCAGGTTTCCATCCACCTGGTTTTATGTGCATTTTCATTTTGCATCATTAAATATGAGTGCACCGTTAAAAGAAATCTCAGAACATGACAAAAAAGCTTTTACTCTTGTCTGAGGCATGGATAAAACTCAGAGTAAACGAGACTCTGTGAACAAACACGGACCTCTGTGAATCATGTGACTCAAACCTGAGTTGGAGGGAGCAATGAGGAGGCTGTGGCCTTCCTCACATTAACACATGAAACTAACAGAAGTGTCTCATCATCTGAGTTCTCAGTGGAGATCGTTAGACAGCGCCCCTTCTGCTGCGGTTGAATGGCACCGACTAGTGGGCAGGAGGGGGCGAAGACAGGACTTCAGTCAGTCAGGGGGGTGAGGAGAAGGATTCTGGTCCCAGTGATTCACATACATCAGCAACAACAACACAACCAGAGGGAATGTTGGACAGCAATAGGTGATGGTTTGCACTGGTGCAAAGTACCTGCTTCGTCATACGTAGACAATTATTGTACTTATGTCACATGCTCACAGTGTTTAGCAGGCAGGAGTTCACATGTATACTTAAAGGGGCATGATGCCACAGAAAATGTATCACTTGAATTACAAGAATTTGAAGTCGGTCTGAGTCTCTGTGGTGTCTTCAGTTGCCTGACTTGTGTTTCTGCCAGCAACACGCATATCTTGGAGATTACTTTCAAGAATGAACGTGGAGAGTTGAGCAGGGAGAGCTTGGGCAGCTCCACGGACTCCACAGGACACTGGGAACGGGCTGACGAAGCACGTTTAACTTTGAATTGTTATAGTTAAACTTCAGCACTCACAAACCCCATGACTCGTACTACTGTATATTTAAATTATACAAATTGAGCTGTTAAACCTCTTTTAGCTTTGTTTTTTGTTCTCCACCCTGACATGTCTGTTGTTAACTGTTACATTGTTTTGTTTTTGTAATAAAATATTTGTGTGTGGGGGGGATAAACTAAAATAAAAAACAGGATCAGTTACAGATCCTGGTCTGGACCTGGACTGGTGATCACTGATTGGATCCACCTGCTGCTCCTGATATAAACCGGGAGACCTGCATCAATCCAAGTGAGACACACAGAGGTAGGTGGACTTCACTGATTCAGTTATAAGATATAATGTTTAGGCCAGAGGCTACTGTGATACGATGAAACTCTGAGTTTGGTTTCAGGCAGTCCAAAGAAGTCTGGTGTGGTGGCTTTGTTCAGGTGCAGGTCTGAGATGTGAGATTGTGGGCAGGTTTAGTTATAAAGAAGTTCAAACTGCTGGAGCATTTTTTTCTTGAACCAGAACCGTCTGATTCTTTAGCCTCAATGTCTTCATGGTTTCACAGAAATAAAGCTGCGACAAACCTTTTCCTGATCTGATGTCTGACGAGACCTAAATCTTGTTTCTCTGCAGCCTTCGCCATGTCCGCCATTAAATCCGGATCATCTCTGCGGAGTCTGGTTCTGACTCCGGAGCGGATCCCGAGCTTCTTCATTCCGTCCTGCAGCCCATTGCTCCTCTCTCCGCGACCCCACCGGAGGTCTCCTGACCAGACCCGACTGCTCTGCGACCATGACGACGACAGTCCGGGGGCGAATTCCCCCGACTGCACGGCGGCCTCCCCTCGGTTCCCGTTCCGCCTGCGGCCGCCGCGGACCAGGGCACCCCGTTGCATTGCCGCTGCTGCGACAGAGTCTGCAGACGCGGACACGGACCTAACGACGCGCGCAGCTATGTCGCTCTCGCACGTGCGGAAGGTAACGACACCCGCGCCGTGCTGGCCGCGAGTCCGTGCACGCGCCGGCGGGAGTCTCTGTTTCACCGGAAAAAGCCAGGGAAAGATACCGAGTCCAGTGACTTGCAAGATCTGGGTCAGCAGGACTCTGTGGATCTTCGTCCACCTCCCAGTTCTGGTTCCGGGCCCAGCAGGCCCGTGAAAGCTCTCTGTCAGCAAGCGATTAAGGAGTTGAAGAGACCTGCAGCGGCTTTGAATGCTCGGAGTCCCGCAGCCAGGAGGACCGAGACCAGCTGACGTCACATCACTGAACACACCTGACAGGTGGACTGGAAACAGAACTGTCCATGAGCAGCTGCTCCTACAGCCGGTCTGGGCCTGGTGGATTATAGCCGGAGTTTTTAACTGAATGATGAAATAAATGATTTAATTGAACGTGTCTGTTTCTCACCTTCATCCTGGGTGTGTCTCTATATCCATCAGTCTAAACAAACCGTTATCAGCTTGTTGGCCAGGTGTGTTGAGCAAACGAGGGATCTGGCACAGTGGCTCTCATTGTCTATGTATGATGTTCTTCGTTAAGGAAACGAGTAGACCAGACTGCGAAAACAAGAAAAATGTGCACTAGGAAAATAAAGTTGGCGGTCTTGCAAAATATAAATTGGCAGTGAAAAGAAAATAACTTACAAATGTGCAGTGGTCTGACCTGAAAAACAAACTGGCAAAATCTTAATACACTGAAATCACAGCCAGTAAAAACAGGATAACCAGGTGAACCTCGGCCAGGTCTCTAGGGTTGGTTCGGAGCAGGAAGGTAGCGGTGTTATGCTGAAATGGAATCTGTAGATTCTGAAAAGTTAGTATCTGATAAGTGTGGAGATCTCTGGCAGGGTCTTAAAGTACGTCCCAGGTGATGATCACATCTGAGGTTCGGACTGGTCCAGAACTATGACCTTCTTTGTCAGTGTGATTGGACGAAGTAGAGCACACACTGCTGCGTTCAGATCCAGGGACCTCAACAGAGTTCAGAACTAATGGGGTCAGTTCTCTGGAAACAGCTGCCTGACAATCTCAGGCTTCAGAAAAATTCACCTTTATGACAAGACATTCTGCTAATCTTGTTTTAGTGCGGATTGTCTCGCCACAGCACCTGTACACACGCTGCGCGTCTCTTTTTGTTTTTAGTTCCGGCAATAACCATTAAGGAGAGCAACGCCTACTCCTCTTGCGGAGGGGATCACGTCACAAATACGTCTGTTACGTGAACTCGGAAGTGTAGTTTTCATACGCGTCTTGGATCATTGTGGCGGTAAGTGTGTTTCTGCTTTAAAGGAGAGTTAATGTCAAACTGCATTAAAATGACCGGTTCCGAGCTGTTAAAGTCAGAGCCCAGGACTCTGCTTCTGTCTGTGAAATGGGTTTTCATACTAGTAGGCTAACGGTAGCTGCTGTCCGGCAGGGAGTGTGTCATATTTATGGAGACGCTGTTAGCATGTTAGTTGTTAGCGACGGCTACACACTGGGCAGTAGTTTCAGTTGAACCGACTGAAGACACGGCGCCTCCGGTCTAAGCTAACAGGAGCCAGGTGCTGACGGACAGACGCTAACAAACCACTGACAACAGTTTACAGTTACAGTCAGATGGATTCAGAGCAGCTCCTCAGTGTTTCAGGCTCAAATCCTTCTTAATCGCGGAAACACAGACACGTTGAACCCCTATTGTTTTGTCAGACTTTTTACTGTACATTTAAACATGAAATATTTTAAGGGAATTTGGGTAACAACCGCTAGCTTTCATAGATCTACGTTTCTGCTGTTGCATAGCTGTGTCCCTCACAGGGGAGATTTAGATTTTATAAATTGTTAGAGTATTAAAATATTAAGACCAGCATCCTTTCCCACTGCAAAAGATGCTATTGTATACATTTGAACAAACATTCACCCACGAACAAGAGAAGGGCATAGAGAACCAGAAACATCAGGCACATCGATAATAAAAATAACTATATACAATTTTTGTAGGAATATAAAAGAAATAAAACATTCAGATGAAAAATTTACCAGGCTTTGTGGGAAAGACTGCAAAGTTTCCAGGGTCTGATTTATTACTGAGATCTTTCAGTCTAGTTCAATCTATTTAAAGTGCAATAATCACACCACAAGGTCTGCTCTACAAAGCAATTACCAGCAAATAAAGAAATTGAAATAACATACAATATAACAATAATAAAACAATAAAAACGAGTTCATTTATAAACGACTTCAAAAATATTTTTTAAATTTTCTCTTAAAACATCCAGTGAGGTTGCTGTTTTCATTTCCAAAGGAAGTGTATTCCCTAGAAACTGTGCACCGTATGAGAAGGCCCTGCAAGTCCCATAGAGTTTTTTTAACGCTCGCAACTGCTAACAACCCTTTATATTGTGATCGTAATGATCCAGGACAGTAAGGTTTTAGAATATCACAAAAATACAACACAGTGGTGCTTTGTAGAATTTTAAAAGTCAATAGAAGCACTTTAAATTCAGCTCTGATATGAATAGGAAGCCAGTGCAGAGAAGCTAAAATAAGAGTGATCTTAGCTAATTTTCTTGAATTAGTCAAGATAATAGCTACTGCATTTTGCCTTAGTTCTAACACGAGGGAGCCTAGAAAATAGGGCATTACGATAGTCCAACCTTGATGAAACAAAAGCATGAACTAAAATTTCAGCATCATGATTTGAGAGAAGAGATCTAAACTTATATAATATTCTGAAGGTGAAATAAGGCTAATTTGGTGATGAATAATGCTCAGAACTAAGCTAGTATAACAAGTATAACACCGAAATATTTTTATATTTTGACTCCGTGAAATCATCATGGTTAAAGTTGAAGGCTGAGGCGTGGTGGGCCTAACAACAGTAGCTCAGTTTTATCAGAGTTGAGGTGCAAAAAGCTTACACACATCCTTATTTTTTGTGGCAGCAAGACAGTTTTCCAGTTTAATCATCGATGAGGAGTCATCCAGTCTTAAACTATATGTCACCAGCGTAACAGGAAATTTAAATCAAAGTGATTTGTAATATGACCAACAGGAATATTTAAATGGAGAAAAGCAGCGGTCCAAGAACTGACCCTTGGGTGGTTCCATATTTTAATTTTGAAGATGTCAAAACTATATTATTATGTAATGTACATTGCGTCCTGTTTGTAAAATGTGATCTTAGCCAACTTAACGGAGCACCTGTAACTCTAAAGGTCTTTTCCAGTCATTCTAAAGGAAAGGAACAATCTGTACTGGCAGCATTTAAGACCAAGATGTTAAATTTGAATCTGTGTTCATCAGTAAATAATTTGTATGTATGTCTAACAAGCATGGTTTCAGTAGAGTGAGGAGCTCAAAATGTAGAATGAAAGGCTTCAAAAAGGTTGTTATTGGACAAATGTGCTGATAATTGTGCAACTCTCTCAAGTACTTCAGAAAGAAAAAGTTTGAGATTGGATAATAACTACTCATCAAGATGCAGCTTCTTTAATAAATGCTTAATAACAGCAGCTTTTGCTAGTGACAAATTAAATATATTTAATACAATGGGTTCCCAATGTGCCCATAGCTCTTTAACAATATTAGTTGGAATTAGATCAAAGATACAGTTTGTGGTTTTGCTTCTAACAGGGGTGTGACGATACGCTTAGCTTACGAGGTGAGACAATAGACGATACTGGGTTCATGAGAATGAGGCAAGATTTTAACACTGTTTTAAGATCTCTTCTATTTGCATTAACCAGCTAAGATATAAAAGAGGCACAAGAATTAAATAATGAATATGTATCATTTAAAATGGCTTAACGCCGGTTACAATTAGATGATTGATTGATTGGCTCAGTTTCTGTGGCCTGTGGGAACCTGTGCATTGTGGGGGACATTTAGTACACTACACAGGCCACATTTGGTGATTTTCTGTATCTTGGCATAACAGATGACATATAAACTGGTTACCAGTAATATGTTGGATCACAGAGTGAATGTCTGGATGTGATCACATGACCTCGCAGGTGCATTATCTGTCTGTGTTTTACATTTACAGCAGAGGCTTGAGCTGCTGGGGATCATTTTCTGGAGGTGAACAGGTGTAAAATAAGTCAGTTACTTTTTTAATCAGTGAAAATCTATTAACACTGTGTTAATACTGCTGGTGTCATTGCTTCAGGGGTCAGTTATTAACACTGTGTTAATACTGTGTCTGCTGGTGTCATTGCTTCAGGGGTCAGAGGTCATGTTTCTATGCTATGAACCTGGTCCGCAAATGCCTCAAACCCAGCCTGTCCAAACCACACCCTGCTACCACCTCCACTGGGAACAGGTCACCTCAATCCAGCCCTCAGGTCCTCACCCATGATGCTTTGCTGCTGCCCCCTCCAGCTCCTGCAGAAGAGGCGGAGGATGGTTACCTGCTGGTGGAGGAGGATACCACCGACTCCAGCCTCGTCATTACTATGGGTAACACACGCCTGGCCAGGGTTGCCTGAGACTCATGAGCTTCATGTGTTTTTAGTCTCAGTGCCATTATTTATCAATCTGTCAATTATTTGACTGAATAATCAACTAATTGTTTTAAAAATAGTCTTTAAATAGACTGTCTGATCTACATTGAAAGACAAAAAAAGTTTGCTTTTTTGCTTGAAAAATTGGTAATCAAGCTAAACAAATTAATAATCAATGCATGTCTGGACCGAAGTCAGTGTGTTCAGTTGATGGAAAGATGCAGGAAGATGTGGATTTGCAGAAATTCATACATCAGTTTTACTTTGTCACCAGAGGAAATGTTGCTGGCGGGAGGTTTGTGGTGAAGGACCAGGTGTTTGCAGCCCGTGGAACAGGTCTCCACCTGGCGTAGGCTCATTATGTGTCTGTGTGTAGAGGACAGCCAGCAGGTGAAGGCAGCGAGGAGGAGAGCACTGAGGAGGAGGAAGAGGAAACTGACTGAGGAAGAAGAAGAGGAGGAGAAGGAGGTGGGAGTAGAGGTGGAGATTGACAGACAACTGGACCAATCACTGGAGACAAAGTCTAAACAACACAACCTGACTACAGTGAATGTCAGAAACATCATCCACGTGAGTTCACACACCTCGAAATTATTGATTACTGATTAGCCGTTCTTCTGTTCTGGGGCTCCATCTGTAACCAGAAATTGATCCCAGACCTGCCAAGTAGAGGTCTTCACCAGTCCACTTGGGTCTGAGGACCTGAGACCCAACCCAAACTTTCCTCATTTTTTTCGGGCCGGGTCATGTTTCACTGTCTCAGGTTTCGGGTTTGTGTGCCAATATGTTCAAGATCCAAACGGATCCGAATAGACCCAAGCCTGCGCGTTAGTATCCAACTGATAATGTGGTGCGTCACAGTCACTGCAGGAGAAAGTTAAACAAGGTGACAGGGAAGAGAGAATGGTGGCGTTCCCTTTTGTTTCAAAAGTTCTGTTTATAGTTTATCTATTTATTTAGTAGATTTTTATTAAACTGGTAAAAACATTTAGCCTTTTTATTGCCTGGCAAGTGGAAATTGAACTTTACGTTTGTATTATATTATATTGATTATATTATATTGGATTAAGGCCACTCTACAGAATTTATTTGAGCTCTGACTTTAAACTCAGAGTTCTGAGCTTTGTAAAAGTTATCTTAAAGTCAGATATCTGAGACATTTTTTTTATAGTGGCCCTAATCTTCCTCTGTAGATTGTTTGTCTGATCTACTGTGAAAAAAGAAAACGGTTGTCACGTGAGACAGAAAAATAAATAAATGAAGAACTAGCTGAACGAGGGAATGTTTGTAAAACTGGTAATCAAGAGTTGCAGGTTATTGTTTCTGCCAGTTGATTAATGGAATCAGTAACCGATTCAGCGCTTGGCCAAAGTCACTGTTTGGTAAATCTGTGTCGTTTGCATATTTATGGTCAAATAGTGTGTTTGAAAGCTGCTGTGGTTGTACTAATTATATTTTATTACAGGGTAATTATGCCTGGATAAAGTTTTTTCCTGGTGATAATTGTCTTATAAAACAACAGGTTTGTTTGTTGACAATCATTTCATCATTCAAATCCTAAGTAAATCAATTCTTGTGAAAATTATAAATTATATATGTATTAAATTCCCTAGGTACCCTAAGAAATAACCTCTGCTTTTGCTGAATGAAGAATAAAAATAACTATCATGATAAAAGGTCAATGAAATGCATTGCAGCCACAGCTTTCCCTGTTTGCTGGAATCATGTAGATGTAAAAATGCAGAGGTCTGTGAACTTTGCCTTGGGAAACTTCATGTCTGTCTTACATGTTCAGATGTGTAACGACATCCCTGTATTAAGATGAAAGCTGGTTTATTGTGTTTGTAACAGAGAAGAACAGTCATAGAACTGACACAGCAGCAGCCCTAACGTCAGAGCATTAGAATGCAGTGAAGCCAAACCACTGCACGTGATGTGTTGCTGCAGACCGTTAAAGATGATCTGAAGAGGATGTTGTATGTCTCGTCGAAGTAACTGTGACCTCTCATCTACAGGAGGTGATCACTAATGAACATGTGGTGGCCATGATGAAAGCTGCCATCAACGAGACCGAGGCCGTCCCTCCATTCGTGAGTCTGCCTTTGGACCTGACCCATGATTTCACTCTGCTGCAGTTCTCTTCAGTGTTCATCTGTTTATGTTTCTTCAGGAGCCCAAAATGACTCGATCCAAGTTTAAAGAAGTGGTGGAGAAAGGAGTGGTGAGATACGACCTCTGTTTCAGGTCAAACATAAAAAAATTTCATCAAACAAAGGTGTTTTTGACGCTGCTGTGTTTCCTGTCAGGTGATTCCAGCCTGGAACATTTCTCCCATCAAGAAAACCAGTGATGTCAGCAAGGTGAAGGTCAAAGGTCAAACCCCAAACATCCCGTCTTTAGTCTTCTCTGTGTAAAGTGTGGCAGCATATTGTAACTGGTTAAGCAATGTCAAAACAAACTTAACATTATAAACTCTTAAAATGTTTTAACTTTTTTTAACTTTAAACATTGTCTTTGTAACATTTAACTTGTAATATGTAGCTTTGTTTTAAGATTCTTTTACATGTAAAAAATGCAAGCACTCTAAACATTTCTGACATTTAACAGTATTTTAATAAAACTAAAAGATTGGCCAATATGTTCAAAATCTATACAATTATAAAACTTTAAAAGTATTTTAAATATGAAACCACTTTTGAAGGGCTGAACCAGATTTTTGTGCCGGAAACATAATGTTTGTCTGTGAATGGAGCAGAACAAACTTGTTTTTGGTTTTGTGGCTGTTTCTAAATGAAGTTCAGCCTCTTTTGGTGTTTCTTCAGCCTCCTCAGTTCGTGGACATCCCTCTGGCTGAAGAAGACTCCTCTGATGAAGAATATCATCCTGATGAGGAAGAGGAGGATGAGACGGCTGAAGATGTGAGAACGGCTGCAGTTTCAGACTGGTGATTGATTACTAACTGATGAATGTGTGTTGATGTATTGAACGATCTGATGTGTAGACGTTCCTGGAGAGTGACCTGGAGAACTCAGCTTCATCTCCCAGAGGATGTCGACTGAACAGGGTGGAGGAGGACAGCTGCAGCCCCTGGCAGGTGAAGCCGCTGTCTGATACAGGCTGTTGAAAAGGCAGTTCAGAGTTTTTAAGATGAGACACTATCACATAATCACAGCAGATTCCACCTGATGAAAAGGACCAAAACCTCCAGCTGTTTTCTTCCTGCATGACGTTGTTCTGAAGGATAAACGGTTCAGGCTTTAAGCCCTTGTTGTGTTTGGTCCATCTGTCATCACATGACAACACGACATAAATCCAACCCTAAAGACTTCCTCCTGCTCCCTCCTTCAGGCTTCTCGGTGCCGATCTCGATGTTATAGGGAGAGGTCTGTCTCAATGGGCCCTCCCCCTCCCCCCAAAGCCCCGCTCCCCAAGGCAGTGACTGACAGCACCTTTCTGGAAAAGCTTCATGCTGTGGAGGAGGAGCTGGCTGTGTGTATGGAGCCCTACCAGGTAATGACCTCCGGAGGACATGGTGTTAACACTAGTGATGTCCAAATGAAGCAATAAACCAGTATTGAACCACTTCATGAATTGTATCGAACATGGGTTCATTCATTCAAAGGTTCGTTTCAGTTGCATCTAGTGGGGAAATAGGAGACAGCAAAACAATATCTGAATTATGTGAATGCTCCATGATGGTGATCAAACAAAGGCAGCAATGATAATGACAGCAACTACGCACACACCTACTGTGACCACAAACCCACATGTTGTGCATCATTTTGGTTTGCTTTATAGTGCTTTTAGGTGCTTATGAACCGGCTGACGTGTGCAACGAGATCTCATGTTATGAAACTGTATCGACTGTTTGACCTAGTCACAGGATTAACCCGGGACCGAAGCAGTTTCTGCTTTGGATGCCATCAGTCACGTGTCTTTTTCAGGCAACAAAGCAGGCATCAAAGCAGTGGTTCACAGAAAATGCCTCTTCGAGCTGGAAGCTTGTATCGGAGCCTCGGTGTCAGGCGGCCATCACCAGTTAACACAGAGCAACATGTCCACACGTCACACTCGCTCATACCTAGTATGTCGGAGATTCAGGACCAGAGCGTTGTTGCGTTTCACTGTCTCATGTTCTGAATTGAGCTGCAGTAAAGGTTTTTGATAAAGATGCATTGATTGATCGGCTGGAAATCAGAATTGGCCAGTTTTTAGATTGCCCACCTGGTCAATCTAACGTACCTGATATTTACGTGCACGACAGTTCAGGTCATGCACTCACAGACCAAAAGTACGCCATGTGCAGTGTGTAACATCTTGCATGCACTTCGCACAAGGCTTGTGCTCTTGTCTGTCCCGTGCTTGCGTTCCCTCATTGTACAGTGTGTCCACCCCGTGGTAAAACAGCGCAGATAAAAACTGTACACACTTTGAAAAGGACATCCATGTTCAGTGGGAATGATGATATTGTTCTGTTCCTGTTACCTTTTGCACTGGTTTACATTTAGAACAGGTAAGGATATTACACCTCATTTTTAGCTGGAGGTTTGTTAAAAAAGGGAAAAGGTTTGTCCTGTACTTTGGAGCACTTTTTAATTTTGAGATTAGGTGTTAGGGTTAGGTGAGAGCAAGAGAAAGATGGAAAATGTAGAAGTTATTTCATTTGATATTTTATTTTTATTACAATGTAATTTTTATTAAAGAAAAGTCGATTCCAGTTCTTAGGAAGGAAGAAAATCAGAATTGGCACAAATAAATCGGAAGTGGCCAAGGAAATTGTAATTGGAGCATCTTTATTTTTTTGATGAATTTTGCCATGCTGCTAAAGGTTGTACTGCACTGAATGATCTGTGTGTTTAACCGGGGGAGGTCTACACTGTGCATCCTCAATAGACCTACTGTATTTACAGGGTCATGTGGAGCAGTCTGTCATTGCGCTGGGCTGAGGGAACATGTGCGGCGGGCTGTGACACACAGTCATGGGTTCTTTCTGGTTCTGGTTTTTGACCTTGTGAAGGGTTCTTGTTCTTGGGCTGTGTGGGGGGTCTGCAGTTTGTTGGTCTGACTTTGTGTTTCTGCCAGGGGAATAACAGGCTGATGGCCTGTTGGTGTGTACTGGTACTGCCCAATACTTCACATAGCCCATACATTTTCTACCGTGTGTTGGAAACTAAGGCTGCAGTTTGTAATAAACGGCCCTACAGCTCAGATGTACAGTATATCACAGAAGTGAGTACACCCCCTCACATTTTGTAAATATTTAAGTATATCTTTTCATGTAACAACACTGAAGAAATGACACTTGGCTACAATGTAAAGTAGTGAGTATACAGCTTGTATAACAGTATAAATGTGCTGTCCCCTCAAAATAACGCAACACACAGCCACACCAGCACTAGTCATGTGTGAGTGTAATCTGCTGCTGCAATGGTGGGCAGAGCTGCATGCACCAGGAATGTGACCTGGATTTTGTTCAGAGCAGATAAAAGATGCTGGTGGAGTTTAGTGGTCGTAGTCAAAGCAACAAGAGACAGCAGAGTCTCTTACAGTGACATAAAACAAGTTCTACATACGTTGAATTGATTATTGATGAGTGATTACTTCCATCCCTGTCAGCCTATGTCGGAGTCTGAGCATGAGGTGGGTCTGATGGCGTACCGGACTCGCTCCAAACGTCCTCTACGTGACGTCCCGCTGGGCCGGCTGGAAGCAGAGCTACGAGCCCCTGACATCACCCCTGACATGTACGACTCCAGCTCTGGCCAGGAGGACAGGGAGTGGACTGGTTGGCTGAGAGGTCTGATGAGCTCAGACATGGATAACGAAGGTGAGGGACAGGTGTGTCTGTGCTAATGTGGTCACCTGTTCTTAGATGTAGTGCTGAGGTCAAACGCCATGTTAGTTTTAGTCAACCTCATCTTTTTCTTCCTGGACATTTTTGTCTCATCTTTGTCCAGAAAAACCTTTTGGTCTTTTTTTTTCCATCGGAGAATGTTGTGAGTTTAGTTTCAGTCATATTTCATATGATCCATCAGAGAATGTTGTGATCAGTTTAGTTTCAGTCATATTTCATATGAGCATTTCAGTTAAACCAGACCAAGCTGCTTTCAGATAGGGATGAATGAGTATATTCATGTCAGGGTCGTATGCCTACAGGCGCCCAGCACACATGGCAGGGTTTGCCAGTCTGTCACAGGGCTGATACAAACAACCACACTCAATCCTTTGGGCAGTTTAGAGTCGCCACTCAACCTAAGCTGAATATCTTTGGACTGTGGGAGGAAGCCGGAATACTCGGAGAGAACCCATACAGGCACAGGGAGAACATGCAGACCTCGTACAGAAAGGCCCCAGGTCAAGGGGCTCTTGCTGTGAGGCGACAGGGCTAACCACTCCTCTAATTTAACATGTAATTAATTTAGCGACATCCTGAGCGGCTTCCATCTCATCTGATGTCAGCTGGAAAGGGTCAACTCTGTTGTGAAAACATATCATTATCATGTTTACACAAACACACACATGATATGGTCATGTAATTGTAATATGAAGTGTTACATGTACCATCAGTGTTGAAATGAATTACCTCACCTTCACGGATGTTAGATGAAGGTGACCCACATGCTCAGACATCAGTTTCTGTCTCTGCCAGAGGAGTGTGATGACGAAGATGATCCAGAGTACAACTTCCTGGCTGACATCGATGAACCCGACCTGGAGGATTACCGTGATGACAAGGCTGTCCGCATCACCAGTCAGTACACACTCAAAACAATGGGTTATTGGTTTTATTGATGACAACTAATCAATCACTTGATCAATAAGATTGATTATACCTCAGTAAGATTAGTTTAAGTTTCTGTTTTATGCCTTTATTGAACATAGTATTTCTGAGCCAGAATTTTGAATGCAGATTTCTGTGTCACTGGAAATGTCACTGGTGATGATTTTACCGACTGATTGAGGAAGCGGTCAGTAATGATGAGTGACTTTCAGCTCTGATGTCGTTCTGTTCCCAGAGAAGGAGGTGAACGAGCTGATGGAGGAGCTTTTTGAAACGGTATGTGCTCCAGCCTTCTTTGTTATATCCACACACTCATCATACAAACATCGGCTGGTGTTCACAGAATCTCAACACTGTCATGGCACATCTGCACACAGATATCTGTGCATCCAATACCTGATCAGAACCAGTCTCCATCAGAGTTGATCAGCACCAAATCACAACTAAAATCATCCCAGGGCACTTTACATGGTAAGGTCTAGACCTTATCATTATCATTATTATTATTATAGAGGAAAACCCAACAAACCCCCCCTGAGCAGCACTTGGCGTCAGCGGGGAGGAAAAACTCCCTTTAACAGAAGAAACCTCCAACAGACCCCGGGTCTTGGTGGGCAGCTTTCTGTGCCGACTGGTCGGGGTGAGTGGATAGAGGAGAGAGAAAAGACGAAAAGCAGCAAGACACAACAAACAATCAAACATTGGGCAGGTTGATGTGCACCAAGCTGTGACTTGGTGATTTATGCACCGAGTCTGGGTCACTATATACAGACGTGGACTAGTTTGTTGGTACCCTTTCAGTTCAACAAGACAATGGTCTATAGATTATTGTGGTACTTTGAACTAATCATTTTCTTTAAGTAGATACGTCTTCAGTTGTGTAATCAATCATTCAGTCTATTTAAATAGAGAGCAGTAGTCACGCTGCTGTTGGGCGTCACTGTGCACCACACTGAACACAGAGCAGTCGTCTAAGGAGATGAAGAACATTCCAGACAGGCATGTTGAGGGTAGAGGCCATAAGACTGTGTCTCCAAGCAGCTGGATGCTTCTGTGACTACAGCTGCAAATATCATAAAGAAGCTGAAGGTCCATGAGAGTGTAGCCAGCCTCCATGAGGAAGATAATGGCAGACTAAACAAAAGGATGGTGCGAATGGTGGTCAAAAAGCCAGAGACAACTTCCAGAGAGAAACAGGCTGAACTCCGAGGTCAAGGTGTGTCAGTGTCTAGTCACACTGTCCCTGGCTGTTTGAGCTGCAGTGGGTTCAGTGGAGGAAAAGCCAGGGGGCCTATGTTGCTGGGGGAAAAACACAAAACAGGCCACGGTGCTCCTGGGACAGTGTCCTGTGGACAGATGAGACAAAACCGCTTTTTGTAAAGTCACATCAGCTCCGTGTTCTCAGCTGAAACGTCAGCGTGGAGACGGCAGCCTTCCCACCAGAGACAGCTGCAGTGGTTTGCTGAAGAAGAGTGGGACAGCCTACCTGTTCACAGGCGCAGAGTCCCACAAGTCGCTGTCTCCACAAATAATGTTTAATAATGGTCCCATCATTTGTGTTCACGCCACATTTGTTTTACTATTTAAAATAATCAGTTGAATAAAAAATAAACAGCAAAGATAGATTTTTATTAAATATAGAATCAACAGTGACAATCACTTTTGTCTGTTTCAGACTATTTCAGAGAAAACCAGTAGTTTTTCTGCTATTGTGGAAGAGTACCAACAAATTTGTCTACGTCTCTGCCTACCACTATACGCTTTGTAAACTTCCAGATCAGTGTCAGTCTCAAAAATCCAGCATCAGTCAAACCACAGTGTACACCTAGACCTTTAACAATAATGACAGCTACAGTACAGGTTGTGTAACATGTCAACATGAGCGCAAACATAATTTGACAAATTTGCTTGTTGTAATCAGTGGAATAATGGCAGATGTGTAGATGTGATCAGTTTCTTGTTGCTCACTGACTGAAATGTTCTGAAGCCATTGGAGCAGTGTAACCAGAGCAGAGGCCAGTGACTCAGTACAGTGAGAATGTTCTCAGCCTGTGGAGCTGTGTGTTGGAAACAGACGGCCTCCCGTGTTTCCTGAGGAGGAAACCTATGGAGATAAAATACTATCAAAAATGTTACAAATGCGTGTTTAACGTTTTGTCTGTAACAAGCGATTTGTGTGTGTGTGTCATGCTGTTCACAAATGCATGCTGTACAAACTGCACATAAAACACATTTTACAAATGCTTAAAATCGATTTTTT